CGCTGAATTTCAGAGGATAGCATCCTGTATCTAGGCCATGTATTTGGGCATGTTATCGCCTTCCATGTCGATTTACAGTCCAAAGCTATCACCACATTAGTCAGCCGTAAGTCCCTGATATTGTGTAAAACCCATATCACACCACGCAATGCAGCTATAATGCGATTAGGCGCCGGCAAAAAAGCATCCCTGGCGTGAAAGAGAGTATTGCCAGTGTCATCTCTAATGATCCACGCAGCACCGCAATGGAGTCTCGAATCCCGCCAATGAATATGCATATTACACTTGAGTCTTCCCGCTGGAGGAAGTTGCCAGCGGTTTTCCGAAAGCCAAGGGTTTGTCAATGATTCCTCATCTACAACTTCCGGTCTGTTGGCCTCATTCCAGGCTTCCGCTTCCTCCTTAGCTTTCTGCACAACTTTGGCAACAGACTCCCGATTATTTACAAAGAGAATGGCATTTCGATTTTTCCATATCCACCACAACACCCATGGTATAGTGTGTTTAATGCCCTCTCCCAAACCCTGATCATTCAGCCATGTAAACATCAATGCCATATTCTCTTCCACTGAATTAGCAAAGCCATTCGAGGGAATCGGGAGATGAGAGAGCTCCCGAAGCTGACGTGCCGTATCGCATCGGAAGAGCACATGATTAATAGTTTCAGGTTCTTGCTGACATAATCTGCACTCTGTATCTATTATCATGCCTCTGCTTACTAACCGATCTGAAACCGCCAAGGCTCCTGAGATCACTCGCCAGAGGATAGATTTAATCTTCGGTTCTGTCCTGAGTTTCCAAATCTTCTGTTTGAGGGATATTCTTAGCTGATCTCGAGGTGTCAAAATCGGTGACGGTTGCATTGGATTGTTCTCTATAATCCAAGCTCCACTTTTAACAGAATAGGCTCCATCCTTCGTATAAGCCCAAATGTGCTTATCTGAGACTCGCCCGAGGGGCATGGCGAGTATTCTGGCAACATCAGCCGGAGGAAACAATTCCTGCACTCTGGATGCATTCCATTTACCACCAGGGGATATCAGCGACGACACCTTGAGCTCCAAGTCCATGAACAACTCTCGATTGACTGGTCGCCTAGGAACTTCATCAAATATCCATTTCTCCAGCCAAATCTTAGTATTAACACCATTTCCAATCGACTTCATGAGACCCTTCCCTAACAGTTCCTTGCCAAATAGAACACTTCTCCAGGCATATGATGGCCTGTACCCCTTTCCACAATTGAGGAAATCCTTGTTTGCAAAGTACCGACCTTTATACAAACGGGAAAGAAGAGAGTTAGGATCATTTAATATCCTCCATGCTTGTTTTGCGAGCAATGCCTGGTTAAAGTCTTCAATATCCCTAAATCCCAACCCTCCTTTGGTTTTCGACTTACACATAGCTTTCCAAGCCACCCAATGTATCTTGTTCTGACCCTCACAAGCATTCTACCAAAACTGAGTCATCGCTGTCGTGAGCTTCTGACATTGATGTTTAGTCAATCTAAAACATGACATGGCATAAACGGGTAACGCCATAGCAATGGACTTCAGTAGGATTTCCTTTCCACCCAATGAAAGCGTTTTTGCATACCAGCCGTGAAGACGCTTTTCCAATTTCTCGTTGATGAATGCCAAAAGCTTCCTCTTCAATCCACTGAAACATTCAGGCAACCCAAGATATTTGCCATCGCCCCCCTCCTTCTCGATACCGAGGATCTCGGATAGTAGTCTCCGTTGATAGAGATCAATGCCTTCTCCAAAGGTAACAGAAGACTTTTGAAAGTTGATTTCCTGCCCGGACGCATCGCCGTAAAGCCTCAAACACCACAGAAATTCTGAACATTCCTTCAGGCTCGCTTTGCACACAAAGAAGCTGTCATCAGCGAAAAGCAAATGCTGAATCGATGGACAGCTTTTGGCTAACTTCATCCCAGTTAAGCTACCCATTCGCTCTGCTCTGCTCATGACATGGACTAAAGCTTCAGCACATAAGATAAAGAGAAACGGGAATAGAGGATCCCCTTGGCGAATGCCTCTTTCTGGTTTAAAATGGCCATGGATTCCATCATTGAGCAGCACTGTATAGGACACCGATCGTATACATTCCATGATCCACCCAATCCACTTTGCATGAAAGCCCATCTTTCCAAAAAGTTTCTCCAAAAAGCACCATTCCACTCGGTCGTATGCCTTCGACATGTCAGTTTTAATAGCTATGAACTCCTCTTTGCAATTTGGGTTCGTTCGCAATCCGTGAATCATCTCATGCGCGATAAGTATGTTGTCTGAGATCAGCCGACCATCTACAAAAGCCCCTTGTGTTGGGGAAACCAGCTGAGGAAGAAAGCGCTTCAATCTCATACACAAGACTTTAGAGATCAGCTTATATATGACTGAGCATAAGCTTATAGGTCTGAGATCAGTCATCTTCTTGGGGTTAGAGACTTTCGGAAGCAGACAGATTTGTGTGTAATTCCAATCCTGGGGTAAGCTTCCATGCTCGAAGAACTGCTTTACTTCATAGGTCACATGAGCACCGGCAATACCCCAAAAGTTCTGAAAGAACTTGCCACTCATACCATCGCCCCCAGGTGCATTGTCACCCTTAATTCCTTTTACTGCTCTACGAATTTCCGCATCAGACACCGGTTTGATAAGTTCCTTGTTCATCTCCGCTGTAACTTTTGTTTCCATTCCTTGTAAAAGTTCCTCACTGTCTACCGGGTTTGATGATTTGAAAAGCTTAGTGAAGTACTCCACCGCAATGTTGCCCTTCGCATCCTCGTCAAAATGCTCAATGCCCGCATCATCAATTAGAGAGGAGATGAAATTTTTGATTCTTCTCGATTTTATCCACCCATGAAAGAACCAAAAATTGCCATCCCCTAGCTTTAACCATGTCTGTTTGCTCCTGAGTTTCCAATATAACTCCTCTTCCACCGTTACCTTGGAGAGCTCTGCACGCAAGTCTTTGAGTTTCCTGAAATCCGGATTCATTTTGGAACATTCAGCATCAACCTCCAACTGAAGCTGTTCCAGCCGGATTTTGGAATTTACGCATGTCGTTCTTTTCCATTTGGCTAATTTCTTTCATACAGTTCACAATCCTCTCCGAGACTTTGGTGCCACTGTTTCCAACATTCCATCCTTTTCTAACGTCCTCAGACACCCCTCGTTTCGAACACCAGCGACGATCAAACCGAAACCGACCTCTTTTGGTTTCTCTATTCCCAATTAAACCCGTAAACAACAGCCTGTGATCAGATGGCCATCGTTTCAGGTATGTCGTATGCGTTCGCGGGAATAGTCGATACCACTCAGCGTTACCAAAGGCCCTGTCCAAGCGACATTGAATCCACACATTCTCCTTACAACCATTCGCATTGATTATCTCTCTCGTCCCACCCCACGACAGTGAACTTCCGGAGCTCGGTGTTTCTTTGAGACGACAATCCCGAATGAAAGATCAAAATGCGAGAAAGCTACTCTCCTGACGTGGTGGGCCTCCCAATTTTTCACTGTTTTTCACAATCTCGTTGAAATCCCCCACTAAAAACCATGCTTCCTCCCTGTTCTCACCAAAAGACGACACCATATCCCAAACTTCTTGTCGTCTATGCCTCACAGGATCCCCATAGATGTATGACACATAGTATTCAAGCGCCCCCTCCTTAACTTTAGTATCAATCACTCGGCTATTCGATAACAGCACTGTAACCGAGTGAGAATTCTTCCAAAACACCGCCAAACCTCCACTAAGACCAGCTGGATCAACCACATGAACATGATCGAAACCCAGGGATCTTTTTAGTCCTCTCACATAGTCACTAGAGTTTTTAGTCTCTAGGAGAAACAAGAAATCCAGAAAATGTACACGGCACATTTCCTTTAGGCGTCGAACTGTCGAGTCGCTTCTCAAACCTCGACAGTTCCAACTGAGCGTCGTCATTGAGAATTGGATGGTTTCTGGTGAACCATCAAACCTTAATCTTGTTTCGAAAATTTTGACACCCCGACATCCACATCTCCTGCTTTCCTCTTACTTGACTGCTCTGTTTCGTTATCTACGGGAACCTTTGCTGACATTTTTGAAGTTGCTTTAGATCCGGATCCGGTATTAGCTCTCTTCCTCCTCGACCATGACGCAGGAGATTTCTGAGAACCTTTGCTGTTACCACTTGACCTCGAAGCACCATTTGGAACCATGCCGATAGTAAAACCCGTTTCAGAACCGATAGGTATGAAGTTACCCGAACCTTCTGTAATATTCTCTCCTTTCTCAGAAGCTTTAAACACGTCTGCTTGAGACATTTGCCCGTTGGTGCCATTATCCCCATCCTTCAAGGGTTCTCTCACATCATTTGTTTCCTTGTTGTTATTGCTTTTCGGGTCACCATCCTGGACAGGAATAGCTAGACGATCTATCGTCGATGATTTCAGCGTTTGTGTCTGTGCGATTTCCGTTTCAGGGAGTACTAAACTCACATTTCTGAAATCAAACACTTTCCCAATAACCTTATCCAACTCTGAAGAAACGCGTGGAGGGGGCTCCAGCCTTAAGACTAAACGTTGACCTACAGGGTCTTTGGAAAGCTCCTCCAATGCCACTTTCATGCGATGTTCTCGGATTGCCTTTTCCACAGGATCAGCACAAGCCATGTACAGTCTCATCTCTTCAAAAACCTCGGGGGCCACTGTGGTGGAGAGTGGCTCGAAACCTGGTGGAACTGTAGGGGCAAGTAAGGGCATTAACTTATCCGCTAAGTCAGAGTGGTGCTGACAAGTTACACCAATACCTCTATTATTGGTCCTTTCCTTGTCCACACCCTGATTGTGTCGAGGACCCATCCGTTTCTTTTGTCCTTGCAAAATCGGGCATCTGAGTTTTTCGTGTGTTAAACGATGGCAATGAAAACATCGTTTACGAATCTTTTCATACTCGATGTCCACAACTGCAGTCCCCGCACCTCTAGGAAGATTGATTGTCTTAGTATCCTAAAGAGGTTGATCTAAATCCACAATAACCAACACTCGCACGAAGTCTTGGAACCTAGATTTCTCAGGATCAAACAGAATTTCTTTCACTTGTCCCACCCTATCTGCTATCGCATCAATGGTTTTAAGGGTGCAAAAATTCACAGGAATTTTGCTAATCCGAATCCAAACCGGAACGAACTTTAGATAACTTGGTGGCAGCTTTTCAACCCAACAATCCAGGACTATACTCCAATCATTGAATGACCATATCCCATCTTTCATCACTGTTTCAATGTCCGTGTCCCGCTCAAAAACAAACTGGAAGTTTTCCTTTGAAAGAGCAATTCCATGGACTCTCTCATATACCTTCCAAATACGCGGCATTGTCTTCAGCATTCTCGCCATATTCTGGCACTCCGGATTCAGTAAACGCCCGATTAGACTTCTAGCATTAACAACCGCAGCACTGTAATCTTCCTCATCTGGTAAATCTATAGGTTTATCATCTTCCAGTGACATTGATTGCAGAGCTTCATTTAAGATTCCATCCATGACTAACAAGAATAAAAAGAAAAAATCTCCAACTCGACAAAGCTTGCAAAAATCTGCGGAAAAGCTATGCGGCTGCTGCAGAATAGTCTTGAAGAACCCTAGAACGAACTCTCTCCCCGTTCTAATTTTGGAAGCTTGGGTTCGCATATCTTTACAAACAGGGAAATCTATGAGCAAGAATTGGAAATTTTCCTTCTTCTCAGAATGACCGACAAGGCAATTTGCCTTTCGGAGGGAAGCTCGACTATCATTATAGACGAGAGCAAAGAGAGAGAGGCCTGAGCGAAAAAAGAGCATTTATGGTATTTTTGACTTTTTTGGTTATTTTTATTCACCTATAATTCTTATAACTTAGAAGTAGAAGTATAAAGAATAGGACATAGTTGATAATATAAGATCTCAAAAAAAGACGAATTTGAATAAAACCATGGAGAAGAATAAGAAGCAAATGAGAACAAAAAATAGTGAAGAAGAATAAGGATAAGAAAAAAAAAAAAGATGTTGGAGTTAAAGAAGGAAATCAGAAAAAAATGAAAGATGAAAAAAACAAAGTAAAAGAAGAGGAAATAAAGTAGGTGAAAATGAGAAAAAGATGAAGAAAAACAAGAAGAAAAAGAGTTTGATGAAGACCAAAGAGGAATAAGAAGTAGAGAATAAAGAAGGCTAATAAAAATTAAAAAAAAAAAAAGAAGAAGAACAGAGAGAATACAAAGATGATGAAGAAGAAGTCAAATACAATTAAGAAGATGAAAGAAAAAGATGAGGAATAAGAAAATCGAAAGATATATAAGAGGAAGAAGAGAAAAAACAGTACAAGTCAAAGATGATGAAGAAGAAAAAGGAAAATATGAGGAAAAAAGAAGATGAAGAAAAAAAAGTACAAGTCAAAGATGATGAAGAAGAAGAAGGAAATTATGTGAAATAAGATGAAGAATTTGGGGCAGAAAAAGAAGACAAAAGCCTTTAAATTGGTGACTGAAGAAGCAGACGAATAAAAAAAAATAAGAAAAATACAAAGAAGAACTAAACCAAAAGATAAGGAAGAAGAGTAGAACGAAACAAAAGATGAAGAAGAAGAAGACAAATCAGAAGAGAGAAATGAAATAGAAGTTGTAGATGATGAAGAAGAGGAAAGAAAAGATAAGGAATAAGAAAATTGATGTTAATGATAAAGAAGAAAGAAAAGATGCAGAAGAAAACCGAAAAAAAAGAAAAAGAAAAATTATAATAAGAAAAATTATGATAATACGAAAATATTTAAGAATAAGAAGGGGAAGTGGATGATGAATTTGAAGAAAAATGAAGATAGAGAGAAATTGAGTTAAACCTTTCAGGGATATGTAGATGGAGAGAGAGAGAGAGAGTGTGTGAGGGAGAGAAATAGAGAGCGAGGGAGAGAGAGAGAACTAGAGAGAGAAAGAAAAATGGTACGAGAGAGTTAAACCCTTACAACGTATATAATATTAAATCTATGTTAGTTCACATTTCTCTGTGTTCCCAATTTTTTTTTTATATTTGAAAACC